ATTAGATTTCCAAAATATTTTGCTTTCTTTTCTATTCCACTCACTCACTCACTTACTCACACACAAAGAGAAGTGTAACATCATACTCATCAATGTGTACATATAAATCTATCACGTTCATACATTTACACTAACATCTGTATGCATATAGAATATTGTATTATGTCATAGTATCTAAGGTTATAAATTAGAATGAAAATTAAAAAGAGCGCAAATTTTTTTTCTTTACTTATTGATTAAAGAACAAAATTAAATTCAATAGAAAAAATAATGTAGTTTTATTTCTTTGTCAGAAAACCTTTAGATTCTGGAGAAAATTTGACGTGCAAATGAATGATGTTTAGTATTCAAAAATGTATAGTTTAAATGTTAAATATTTCCTATCATTCTAAATAAATGGTTGCATTCAAATGAAGGGCTAATATTATAAGCAAAGATGGATGGTGGCTAGTAGTGGAATCCAGGATGTGCGTATCGTCCTATCTTGAACTCGTCAGCTAGACTTACTAATGAGAGACTGATCTTTTACAGTCCTAAACATCAATGGAGAGATTCAAACAAACAATACAAAATGAATTTAAACTTCACCCAGTTGCACAAGCTAGTAACTATCAGGAGTCAATAGCTAAGTGGATAACGCGATGGTATTTGAAGCGAACGGTACTATGTTCGAGTCCTGAAGTGCGTTCCAAATAAGGAAGGACACACGTCCTGGATTCCACTACCAGCCACCATCCATCACTTTTTATATTGCTTGTGATTCAAGGCAATATTGAGGCAATCCACACAGTATGTACATATGCCAATGACAGACTAATTAACTGCAGCCATATGCGTCAGTGAGAATATTCAAACAACCAATACAAAATGAATTTAAATGATAATATTGTTAGATAAAATATAAATGAATGCTTCTCACTTAAACGATCCTACTTAAAAAGCTATATACTATTCCAAAATAACCTATATCAATACTTTTTTTAAAATAACTCAAACAGAGTTCTTAATAGAAAAGTTGGTCTGTGGTTAGTTGTGAAATTTATCATCCACTATTCGTTTTGTTTAGGATTAGATGTATCTATATCACAGTGTTGATGTTCACTTAGAAACTTGAATACAGTGCCTACCGTTTTAAACACCTACGAGTTATTCTTTAAACAACTGGATCTATACAGTTATTAATTTTGCTCAACTAGTATGAAGTTATCAAACAGTGTTTATCATCTCCCTTTGTTATTATTTAGGACTATAACTAATCAACCTCCAATAGCATATGTACATCATGAGAGGATTGATTCAGTGGTGATATTTACTTACAAGATTTTCATTGAAGTTCAGTTCGAGGTAACGTTCCATTACTTACCACATTCCAACTTTGAGTAAAAACAATGGGAAATCCTAGACTTATAAATAGTGCCATGTAAGCTAAGTTTTGCACTGTCCTTTTTAAAACATTTATATATTCGTTCATTTTATTCTGTTTATATATATATATATATATATATATATATATATATATATATATATATATAGTGGTGTAGTAATTGGCTCTGTTCACATAGCTCGTTACTTCTACAAGTTTGAGTTGAAATTCATTAGTTTACCTTTCCAATTTAATTAAGAACTAATCTTTATAAACCTCTTATCATATTAGATGTCCATTAGATTTATTTTCTCATCACAATAAGGATTTACATTTTCAAAAAATAAGTAAAAATAATTTACAGATGTACTTTTTTTGTTTTTTCTTGAAACTTATCTAACGAGATCATTCATTTCTCATCTGTAATATCCCACTGGAATTGATTATTACTTTTATTATAAACTTTTTCTCTTAAAGCGATTGATCAGCCTCTTTATTAGAATATATGAACTCTGTGTAGATTGCCTGGATATTACTTTGAATCACAATCAGTGGAATCCAGGACGCGCGTTTTGTCCCGCCTGGGACTCGTCAGCTGCATATACTTGCAGCCAGAGATGATGTTTACTCCGGGTTACGATGGAGAGAATGGTACTTAATTCGAGTCCTGGAGTAAACATCAACTCTGGGATACAAGTACATCCTCTAGACCCCTAAGCCGGCGTCCAACAATGTTTATGTCTAACTTCAATCGATCCATGATTTGTTGTGCAACCATTCATTCATTGTTTGAGGTAGATTCCAATCTCTATCCGACACGTATTGGACTCCACTTGTCTTGTGGATGCTCACTACTGAAAAGTTCTATACTTGGGAGAAACGGCCGTCCATTGCTTCCAGGTTTTCAATGGTGGTTTAACATTGATTCATTTATGAAACACTGATTAGTTGAAATTCAACTGAACACCTTTTCATCAATCAAGTATAAATTAACTTTTTATCACTCAAAGAAACCTGTGTTTTTATTATATTAAATCCAATGTATTTTCTTTTAATGTAAGTACTTTTCTAGTATTCGTTTCTTTTGAAATTCTCATTTGATAAAAATCATTAAACAGTCTATTACATTTACATTAGAAAGGATAGATAATGATAAACGTTTTCTTTTTTTTTTTAAAAGGGGGTAATTGGTGTTGAAGAGTCTAGATTGTTATCAAATATATGTATAAATATATATCTATGTCTTTAATAGAATACACAAATTATCTACTTATTCTTACTTTTAAATATTCCCTAGGGTTAAACAGTTCAAAGTAAGGCGAAAGAAACAAGAGAAATTTTATCTAAACTAATAGACAAAATAAAACAAAATCTTCACTTTTCTTTCTTTTTTTTTTCTTCATCAAATAACACAAAGCAGTAGGAATTCAAAGGTAAGGAATTCTCTTCTTTCATTTCTTCTTCTTCTTCTTCTTCTTCATAAACAGGGGAAATAAATTATTAAAGGATACTTTTTTTCCCGAATAGGTTAAATAAATGTGATTTGTTAACAAGCAACAATAGAATATGAAGACTAAGAAAGAAAGAAAAAAACACAGCTGACCGATAAACAGACAAATAATCAAAGTTGAATTTGAAATTTAATACAAATCTGTGAAATTTAATTAAGTTGAAAATGATTTCATTTCATTGCTTGTTTATCCGTACACCATCACATTAGAACAAGAGGTTTATATAGAAATCGCTAATCAAAAAAAAATAAGAATGAATAATGTAATTAAGAATGATTTGTTATTGAAATGTTTAATGAACATTAGTTAAAGTCTTAGATGTTATCTACAATAGTATGCCAAAGTTATGATGTCAATGAAAACCAAGGATCACTTGATAGTTGCGTGGGATTCATTGGTAATAAACACTTACAACTCCGACAGTGATAGAACCTAGGATTTTAATATCTGACGACTAGTGAATAATTAATTCATGGACGAGATTGTTGGAACTCACTTATTTCAGGAGTAGGAGATCAATCACCACCAGTACTGAACGATCATCACTCGATATATATAGTTGATTGATGTTAAACTGTGAAGTGATGATTTTCAACGGATTAACTTGAAGGTTGGACATACCGTAAAGCCTTAAACTTTTAGATTTCATCCACATTAGGGTCGTGGTTGCGAGCTACTAATAAACTTCATACAGTTGTCCAGTGATTTTTGGTTTTCATTGGAAACCTAATTTATCACAGTTTGTGATGAATAGCATATAGAAATCACTTTTCCATAATTCCTTCTTTTTTTTCATTTCGTAGAAAACTGCAGAAGTAATAAGTGCTGATTAATATTTCGAAGGTATGTTATTTTAACTTAATGTTTAAAAGTCCTGGTTACCTATATATTTCATCTTTATGTTAGCATAGTGATTTAAGTGTATGGCATTAGCTCCTGAAAACCATCACCGTTTTCATGAACATTTAGCTAGAGAAAGACTAGTTGCTTCATGACATGCTCAGTTATTTGAAATTTTATTATTATAAAATTAAGTTTAATTTAAGTAGTTGTTATGGTTAAGAGTGAAATCTAGGACACTCTTTTCATCCTATTTGAGACTCGTCCGCTAGATCCATCTGAGCTACAGAGTAAATATTCACTCCGCTATTCGAACTCAGTACCTTTCATTTCAAACAATAATGTGTTATCTATTTATCTACTAAGTTCGGATAGTCAATTAGTCAATTGCAAGGCGTATGAACTTTAGTTTAATCAATAATGATTTGACTTATCAAGTTGTTGATATTCTAACTGAATTTTGATTAAATTCCAAACAAGAATGATCAAAATTCAATCAAAATATCAATAAAGGGATGATCCAAAGCATTACAATTTGTTATGATTGTACAAATTGTTTTAGAAACAATCGCAGTATGAATTTCTAATAATAATCATTAATCAATTTATTGCCTAATAATAATCACCATCATATTATCTAATGCTCAACGTTGGTTGAATTCTAGTTTATTATTTATAATCATTAATCTAAATAAATCTATGCGCTTTATCTTGAGTTTAAATAATTGAAAAAGATTCTCTGAAAACATTTGATCTAAGCCTGGTAATAGTTAACACTAATCAACAAGCGATATCTGTAAATTTTATAAAGCTAATGTTTCCAATAGGATTTTAAGTTTTACAATCGTATCATACAACATAATGAACATAGTATCTCTTAAGTCAAACGAATTGTATCAAATTGAATGCGAGATTTTTTAGGTCTTTCATTAAATACGATCTTATTAAGATCAAAAAATAGACAATATTTTTTGACTTTACTTACAGTCGAATTGAGTCATACATTAAGAAAACAAAACAACAACGAATATTTGGATTATTAACAATAAATTTAATGAAAATGACTGTACAATTCAAACCTATAAAGTTAGTATTCTTTCTTTCTTTCTTTTATTCTAAATTAGACAACAATAAAAGAACCTTATTAAATAGGTATATATATATGTATATGTTGATTTCGGAATAAAGTTTTAATCATTCATTCTTTACAACTTTCATAAAATCAAAACAAAACAAAACAAAAAGAAGTAAAGTAGAAATCCAACTCGTTGAATGAAATGGAAACGAAAAATTAAAACAAAACTAAACAACATTTCATGTATACAACATAATGATAATGATGGTTAAATGTATAGATCTATTTGTTTGCTTGTTTGCTTTTTTTTTAATAAAAGTGAAAGAGAAGGGGGAGGGAGGGAGGTGGGAAAATAAACGGACAAATTTTTCATTATATCATTATGATATAATTATTATTTATTATTACTACTGAGTTTTCTCTATTTTAAATTAAGTTATGTTAGTGAACTAAGTAAATTCTCTACTGAATAAGGTAATAATTTTTCATCATTATTACCATGTATATTGTTTGGGCTAGATGAAGAATAATTTTTAGAATTTATTATATCACAGTCATTAGTATTATTATTATTATTACTATTGTCAGTACCATTAATATTATTATTGTCAATATTGTTATTATTATTATTACTATTGTTATTAGTGTTGGTTGTTTTAGATAAATTTAAACCATTGAAATTATGAAATGAATCAATGAGATCAGATGAATTTGAATAATTTTGTAAATGAATTGATGTAGGACTAGAAAGTATATTTGGTAAAGGTGAAATAGATGATGATGATGATGTTGATGATGATGATGATGATGAATTTAATGTAATTTTATTATCATCATGTAAATTATGTGATTTGTTCTGATTTTCATGAATATGATGAATAGATAAATGAGAGGTATTTATATTTTCTAATGTATAATTTTTTTTACATAAATCTATTGTACCATGTTGTGTTTCAATATGACGTCTTAAATCAACTTTACGTTGAAATGCACGTAAACAATGAAAACAAGAGAATGGTTTAAAACCAGTATGTTTACGTGAATGTGTAATTAAATTAGATGATTGACTAAATGCTTTACCGCATTGTAAACAAATATAAGGTTTTTCACCTAAATTTTTAAAAAGAAATACAAAAAAAGAATTAAATAGTTTCTTTTTAAGAACAAATAACTAAATAAATTTATATTAGAAATTCGTTTTGAATAGATTAATCCGTTCCATAATTATTGAGAAACGTAATAGTAACATTTTGTTAAATACAAAACAAGCAAACAAATCTTGTGGGGCGATATTGTGGATGCGTATTTCTGAGAAGTCCGATGCTAGGACGAAACGACCATTCAGTGGTTTCAAGTTTTCAATGATTGTCTAACTAATATCAGCTCGTAATTTATAATGTGTAAGGATTTCTTATTATTAAACCTGAAGATACTTTCAAAAGCATTTATCATTTTACTGAATATAATTTAATATGGACATCTTTTCCAGTCACTTTTCGATTAGAATTAGTTCAAATGAAATTTAACATGAAGGCAATTCAATGGACATCACTGATTGTGGAAAGAGTGATATAATTAGCTACTTTTTGGATCATTAATTTTGATATACGATTATAGAACCTGAAGAGAATTGATTGAGAACAATACTTATTGTGTTTTTGATATGATTGGAGTTTTCAAGCAGTTCACATGCATAATTCTCAAATCAGTGATAATAAGTTGTCATTATTTCAAATACAAACATCTTTTTAATTATTCTTCTCTTATTTAAGTAAACTAAATCCTATGAACTGATTAGTTGGTAGTCAGAATGCGTTACAAGTTATAATTCAAGTTATAACAAAAACAGCTGATCTTATGTTGTAGTTTGCTTATAGAAATCGGTATACCTTCTACATAAACCGACATATTTCTACGAATTATTAGTAAGCAACTGCTAATGATAAAGCAATTTATAGTTATAATTATTGAGGACCAGTTATTCAACTGATTATTTAATTTATATCAACGTCTTAATTATTCTAAGAGTGAAGATTGAGAAAACGAATATTTCAAAACAGACCAGTTAGAAAAAGAAAAAAATAAGTTCAAGTCACATTAAACTAACTCATTTCTCACAGCATTTCTATGTGCTAGTAATATTTCATTGATAACATAACTCATTTATCAAATCCCTGCTTATAAATTCAACTTGCAGTTATATCGTTTGTCTCAGAGCCAGTAATACTACTCAGTTGCTCGAAACAAAAGTAGATACAGGGTAAATCGAATATATGACTGACAATGAGTATTTTAATTACTAAACTACTTCTGATGAGTACATCTACCTTTCAAGTTACTTTGGAGAATACTGATCTATCTACTGTTTGATATGATGATAGTAATATAAAGATTCAGGTTTAGCAACTTCTTACAGGCCTAATAATCTTTCATTAGATACAGTGGAATACAAATAGTATTATTCGGTCACTTCTCAACATTATTTGAAAAATTCTAATAAGAATTAGAAACAAAACTATGGAACTCAATAGTCCTCAACAGTTAGCCCATGATCAAATCAAAAACGAATCTAGTTCCAAGTAGCTGATAGCAATATATATATATATATATATATATATATATATATATATATATATATATATATATATATATATATATATATATATATATATATATATGAAGGGTATTTTGCAAGTACACAGTGTCAAAATATTATTTACTTACCAGTATGTGTATAAGTATGCTTTTTCATATCAGATTTTTGATGAAAACGTTTACCACAATACTGGCATGGATAAGGACGTGTATCACTATGTATTAATAAATGTGTACTCAATGTAGATGAACGTTTAAATGTTTTACCACATTGAGAACATTGAAATTGTCTATCTTGACAATGTACACTTTCATGTTGATATAAACTTGTAGCATGACCAAATGTTTTCTGACATAATTGACATTCAAATGGACGTTTACCATTATTATGTGCTCTGTTTGATCAAATGAAAATAAGAAAATCAGTAAATGATACTTGCAAGAATAAATAATCATTGTTTAAGTCAATACATGAAATAGAAAAATAACAAATCGTATCAATTATGTTAAATTTCTTACTTATGACTTCCAGTGAAGTAGTCTAATGTTTGAAGAAACTGAGGTTTGGTTAAATTACGTATAATTCTAAAAAACGAATTTAACACATTTAGTTGAACTGTATGAATTAATTTTCTGCTGTTTTGACATCCCCCCAGGATAATCTAAAAGTTTTGTTGGTTGCAAACTGATCACAGATTGATTTCAATTGAAGTACCATTGTAAACCATAGAGCACTGAATTTTTGCTTCGTCTTACTGTGGGACTCTTCAGCAGTGCGCATCTATGATCCCTCTTCTCGAGACTTTAACCCAGGACCTATCAGTACCGCGCGCGAGCGCCTAACCATTAGACCACTGAGCCGGCATCCAACGGTGTTAATGTCTGACTTCAACTAATCCACGAAATCGAGCAACACATCGGATCTCGCGAGGCGGGATCGTGGATACGCACTGCTGAGGAGTCCCATACTAGGACGAAACAGCCGTCCAATACTTCCAGGTTTTCAATGGTGGTCTAGCTTCAATTGACTCATAGTTTCAACTAATAAAATTTGTGTTAATGTTTTGAATAATGTAGTCACTGAATACCAAATGTTGAATATATATCATCCTAGCAATGTATTTTCCAATACGACATAATTTTTTTGAAATTTTTGAATAAAGCAGGTCTGCTGAGTGCATATTCTATGAAGCTATAAACATGTACAAAATCCTTAATTAGATCTATGGATTATAAATACTAGGAAAATTCAAAATGGCAACCGAAGAATTATTCATTTCATATGAACACAGAGATTCTAGATGCCTAATGGACTGGTTTAGCCATATTGATTGTTGATCAAATATCATTACTTATTATTAAAACCTAATGGCCCTATATCTGACTCTAATTAGATCGTATGAATGATTGTTGTCAAAATATACATCTTGGCTATCGTCGTATAAAACTATCGACTTAACTGACGTTAGTGAATAACGGAATTAAAATAAGTCAAATACGAGAATGGATTTTTGAATGCATATATTTTTTACACTGATTGATTTGAACAAACAATCAGAGGAATGAAGCGAATAGAAGAGAGCGTGGAGGACAATGCATGTGAGCCAACTCGATTTAATCAATCGTTGATCGTCACACAAAAATAAGCTACAGACATGTGATGAGTAGGATAAGATGTTCACACACATGTTCATATAAAGTCAGTCAAGGTGGATAGGTGAATAATTAACAAGGTCAAAACGTGACTCAAGAAGAATGGATAAATTGGCCTGTCCAGAAGTTAGAAGTAAGTTATATGAGCTTAACATAGGAACCGATATTAATAACCTACTTCAATTTATACAATCGGATATTATTTACATTGGCTTATAAGAAACTTTTTACTTAAACCTAAGTATATAAACCCTATACTTGATAATTAATTGAACTGTTTCATAAAGCTTAGCTGGTTAAAATTAGGCTCCAAAGAATTCTCACAGGTTGAAATCATGAGTCAGTTGAAGCTAGACCACCATGGAAAACCTGGAAGCACTGGACGGCCGTTTCGTCCTAGTATGGGACTCCTCAGCAGTGCGCATCCACGATCCTGCACCACACGGGGCTCAAACCCAGGACCTACTGACTTTGCGCGCGAGCACTTAACCACTAGACCACTGAGCCGGCATCCAACGGTGTTAATGTCTAACTTCAACCAATCCACGAAGTTGCGCTACCGTACACCATTGTCTTCAGTGAGTTGTTATCTCACAACAGACCGGTTGAACTCCACTGGTAACGGCTTCTCACTAGAACTCCAGAAGTTTTTCCTGAAGTCAGTCACTAGTGAGCAGTTGATTATTATCAGAATGGGTTTTGTGGAGATTTTAGGAATTTCACAGATTGAAATCCATTCTGATTTCAAAGAATTCTATTGGGTCATTTTTTATACTAGTTGGTACTGAACTATAAGGTATATCTGTTATAGTCAATGAGCTAATAATAACTGCCAAATTCGAATCCATATCATCCAGCTTCACGTTTTAAGACATTACCAATGAATTATTCAGGGAGTAATTAACATTCTGCAAGACTGAGATATTTACAGTTGATTGTATTTTTCTAGTTCTTTAGTACTGATGGAGTCTTTATTGCAATATAGGTATTAGTTTGAATGATTTGATAATCATGTTAAAGGTGTTTCATTAAATCTATGAAGTCAGATAGATATAACATCAATTTTATAAAAACCTTATCAACAACTAACCTTCTAACATGTACTTCTAAACCATGTGCAGTAACAAAATACTTATTACATAAATTACACTTAAAAATATTCATTGGAATATTTTCAGGATTTTGTTTAGGATCTAATATAATTTCTTCATCATCAACAACAATATCATCATCGTCGTCATCATCATCATTATCATCACCATCTTCATCGTTATAACAATCAGTTTCATCAACTCCTAATTGATTATTTCCATTCATTATTTCATTATTATCAAGATTATTCATTTCCTTATCTTCGTTAGAATATTTCTTTCTTTTATGATGATGATGATGATGATGTTGATCAATAATTTGTGAATTTAAATTATTTTTTATTGATTGTGATAATTTATTAAATTTTATTGATTTATTTTTGAATTTTGATTGATTTATGATCATTTGTAGATCAGATCTATTATTATCATGATTTCTATTTAATTTATGAGTATTATTACTATTAACAGTAGTATTAGTAGTGATGGCAGTAGTAGTAGTAGTAGTATTAGTATGATTTTGATTATGTAATAATGTGAAATTATTTAATTGATTATCATCATTATTATTATGATTAAAATGATTATCTAATTGTTTCTGATTAATTAATGATATATTCTCATTGATTATTGTTGTATATATTTGATTAAAATGATTTTGATTGAATAAAGAAATATTTACAGGTAAATTATGATTCATTTGTAATTGTTTAATAGTTTGATAAAATAATGAACTTAAAGTTTGTAATTCATTTGGAATAAAATTATATGGTAACATTTTTGATGTCATTAAAGTTTGTGCCATTTGTAATGGTGTTATATCTTGTGTAGTTACAGTGAATGAAGATGTTGTTGCTGTTGCAGTTGTTGTTGTGGTTGTGGCTATAGATGATAATATTGGTGTATTGATCATTTGTAACCAATATTGATGAAATTGTGATGATGATAATGATGATGATAATTGTGTTTGTGAAAGAATTTGATTAAAGTTATTATTTTGTGAATTTGGTAAATTGATTAGATTATCTATTTCAGTAGTATTATTGTTAAGTGGAAATATAGGATATGGTTGTTGTTTAATATAAGAATTTGACAATAGTGGATTATATGATGAATTAAATAAATGATTGCCATTATTATTATTATTACTATTTATATTATTATTAGATGATAGATCCACGTTTTTATTATCAAAGTTGTTTCTTAAATGTATATCAGAAGGAATTTTACAATGACTATTCATATTAGTATTATGAATTGTTATTACATTATTTGAAAATCCAGTAGTATTTTTATTATTTTCTTTTTTAAGATAAGATTGTTTTAATTTATGTTTATTGTAACGCATAGGATTTAAATTTGAACGTGATTGTTTACGTATTCGTAAATCTTTTGGTGCTAAAATGAAAAATTTGAAAAAATAAGGTAAATTGAATAGAATAATCATTTTGACGAAATAATTCGCTGACCCATTGTAGACTAATGTAATATAATGATTGAATTCATGAGTCAATTAAAGCTAGACCATTATAGAAAACTTGGAAGCATTGGGTAGCTGTTTCATCTTAGTATGGGACTTCTTAGTAGTGCACATTCACGATCCCATTCTTGTTCTCGCAAGCGAAAGCTTAACCTTTAAACCATGGTGATCTAGCTTTAATTGACTTATGAATTCATCCATTAAATTACTAAAGTTTTCGCAAAACCTCCTGATAATGTAATATAGTTAACAAGGTGGTTTACATAATTTTGAAATCAGTCAGTCAGTAACAACGTAGAACTTTGCACGTACGCACATCAATTCGAGTTGCCACACCATATTAGCACATAGATACAATTGTTGATTCAAATCCCGTATTGGTAGAGGCAGTAAAAATATAGGCAGTAGTCGGAAAGATTAGGGTTTGAAGATGTTATTCAAGGAGTATAATCTAGTGAAATAAATTTGGAATGGGAAAAAAAGAGGACATGAAGAATTCAGAAGATTAAAATCTGGGAGAACACAAAGAGTAAATGCACCTGCACCATCGCAATCGACTTTGAGTCACGTCATTCAAGGTCTCAAACCATCGATTGCTATCATCTCGCGGATCCCAACCAGGTAGTCTACACCTACCAACATAGTTCAGTTCACTTGCCAGTGACTTCATGAACTTGTGCCATGTTTTGGTCTGGCCTCCCAGAGCCTTCTTTCAACCTACTCCTACACCAGTGAACATCGCACGTCGAGGCAGTCGGTGGTTGGGCATACGTAACGCGTGTCCCAGCCATCTTAACTGATGAAGTTTCATTACTTCATCAATTTTGAAATATTTATTATTAAGAGTTAAGTTATGAAATAAAAACTACGTAATTAGATTTTAGACTAGTTTTTGAATTTTGATAAGGGAAGTAGTAATTTATAGAATTAACCAAGTCAATAGTACAACAGTGATTTTTTGTCATGAACTCATATTATTTGGAAAATTATCAATATCGTTTGTTATGGGAAATATGCATTACTGTGGGATTCTAAACAAAAAATGAAATATTAAATGATCCTTGTTTTTCAATGATTCTTCAATTAATGTCAACCTATTAAAAAAACTATCTTCAAATCAAACTAATCTCTACAAACGAACTAATTTAATAAGTAAAATACAACTGATGAAAAAACAATGCTGAATATGAACACCAAAGAAGCTACAAACATTTACTAACAACTTCATACTAGTTAATCATGTTAGTGGCCATTTCGACTTAGTAGTTTACTGGATAATGCATTGACATTTAAAATTTGAAAAAAATGTCTTGGATTCAGGTCTCAATATAAATATCAATGTTGATATATTGGTACATTCAACTAAAGAGTTTTAAACAAGATAAAACCTACATTATAAATTCTACCGCTTCAGTTACAGACTAAATAAACCAAAGTTTTTATTTTTTTAATCATTCATAGAGTATTTTTTTATTCGTAAGCTTACGTAAAATCATTTCTATATAATTTAAATTTCATTCAGAATATCATCTTAATCTTTCTAACCATATTAGGCTTTTTTCATTAATCCATTTCATGTATAAGCCTTAATTCGAGTTCTTCTTATAAGAATAAATTGTCACAGTGATAATGACAATAATTTCATATGTCTTTTTAAAAAAAGCCTTAACCTTTTTATATGAGTTGTTCGTATCTTTAATAGACATTTAAAAGGAAAGTAAGGTATTATTGATTGAGATTATGAATCGATTGATATTAGACTACCATTGAAAACCTGGAAGCACTGGACGGTCATCCGGTCCTAGTATAGAACTTCTCAACAATGCGAATTCACGATCTCATATGTAGTATTCGAATCCAGGACCTTCGGTATCACGCACAAACGCTTAACCTGTAAACCATCGAGCCGGCAATCGACAGTAATAAAGTCTAACTTCAACCAATCCTAGATAATGAACAACCATATTGTGCTCGTTTATGACTAGCTTCGAGAGGTAATTCTCGGAGTTCTAATGCAAAGCCATGATCAGTAGCGCTAAACGGTGTCAGATCTGAAACTGTTACTCATCGAAAATAATGGAATATGATCACACAATTTCATGGATTGATTAAAGTCAAACTGATAAATAATTCATTCATTCATATGTACAGTAAATTCAATAAACAATTATATCTTCTTAAAAATAAATAGATAAACTTACTGTTTATATCATTTGAGCCAGATGATAATCTTTTTTCATCATCTATCTGTTTATCATTAATCAATTTATCATAATTAATAAATTTAGGAATAGTCAAATTCGATACAGATTGATTCATTGAAAGATGTTTAAAATGATTGTTTTTATAATGATTACTTTTCAATGATAATTTATCCGGTGTTAATACATCATATTTTGTATATTGTTCTAGTTTATTATCAATATTATTATTTTCATGAGAGTTTTTATTTGGTCTAAAAGAATTGGATGGAAACAATGAATAAGGATCTGATATATTATTACTATTACTATTACCACTATTATTATTATTATTAATTGTATTGTAACCACTATATTGTTTCATTGTTTTAATATCAAATTGATGTGATAATTCTGGCCAGGTTGTCATAGAATTATTATACTCCATTAAATGATTTGAATTCATGGGTTTAAATATTCAATGTTGAAATTCACTTCAATTTCTAGGAGAGAAAAAAATAATTACAATCAATGATAACATTATTTTTTGTCCAAAACAAAATAAATACAGTCAATTTTATTGATGAAGTTAATAGGACTAAAAGTTCTATACTCAACACCCCCCCATAAAGTCATGAATGTGTAATGTTGAAGAGTTCCATATGAAGAAGAAATAGTTATTTAGTGTATTCTAGTTTTTAATGATTGTTCATGTAAGATTAACCTTTATTCATCGCTACATAATTTCATATGAGTAAAATAATGTCGGTTATTTTGAAATATTTATTAGTCTCGTGATATCGAAGATCTATAATTTGATTATTGAATGTTTTAAAAATCTAATTATCACGTATTATAATAATCATTAGTAGGAATGATAACAATCGGGTGTTGATATATTCAAACACACTAACAACCTTCATATTTATCCGAATGTTTTTTATAGATTGACACGTTTTCCGGGTACAGGTTTAAGCTACACTCTAAGTATGAGGGTTAGTGATACTATATGGTTACTTAAAACCAAACAGTAAGAGTTGGGCTCGAACATGCAACTTAATGGATGAAGTTTGAACATTTTAACCAATGAACCAATGCTCTACATCATACATTATTGAAAATACTTGTATACAATGCTTCTCAAAAAAAAATATGAATTCCCATAGAAGACTACTATAAACTAGAACTAATCTCTATAGATCTTCCAATTGAATAACATACCAGATTTTACTTTTGTTTTACAATTTTTTTAGATCAACATTGACAACTAGATACTAACTATAAAATGGCTTCATTGATATTTAATATCTAATTGCTTAACGATTCGATTCAAAGACCGTATTAGGATTAATTCTTTTTTGTACTATCAGAATTTAAAATAAGTTATTCAACTTCAGTTTGATTCTGTTTTTTGCTTCATTTCATTAATAAATATTATTATCAGAAAGGAGGGATTGTTGAGATTGTACTAAATTAACAATTGAATTCAAAAGTCTATCAAAGCTAGACCACTGAAGAGTCCCATACCAGGACGAAACAACCGTCAAGTGCTTCTAGGTTTCCCATAATGCTCAAGTTTTAATCGATTCATAAATTCAATTATTGAAATAGATATTATGTAAAATAAACAAAGTCGTTTGATTTACTTATTAAAAAGAAAATATCAATACCCTTTAAATGTTAAAAAAAATGATTGTCATTATTACTATTGTTATTTACCTGTTGTTATCTGTTGGTCGTAATTATATTAACCCTAATAAACTCAAAATAGAATTTTAAAATATTTAAATTTCAACACAACAAGGTTTTATGTTATCTTATTTGTAAGGATAAACAAAGTTAATGACAACAAACGAGTTAATTCCTAAGAGAATCTAACAATCCATATTCTATTAAAGTTCAAAGGAGATGTTCTAAGGATTAGTTATTTGTGAATATTAGACAAGCTTTCATTGTTAACTTGATTCAGTTATGAGTTTAATTGTCTAATTATCGATTGCTAGTGTTATAACTGACCTATTCTAATAGTTTAAATGAAGTGAATTTAAACTTTCAACTAAGTTTCGAATTTCGTAAGGTGGGATCTTGGATGCGCATTGGTGAGGAGTCCCGCAATAAAACGAAACAGCAATCTAGTGCTTCCAGGTTTTCCATGGTGGTCTAGCTTCAATTGACTCATGATCTCAACTATTAAAGTTACTATAATATCCACAAAATCCTGTCTGATACTAAGCATAAAAACTCAAGTTGTTCAATGCCCAATATAATATAAATCCTCAAAATCATCTATAATAAAAGTAAATTACAAACAACACCAGGTTACAATCACTAACTAAACCTAAAATCCTACTATGTTTTTAGCTCTAGGTAAGAAAATTTACATTTTAAATGAGAAACATCGAAGTTTGATGGTAGAAATTACTTAAAACATATAAATGACTACAAACCATAAACAATTTAAATTTTGTGATTTAAAAGTAAAACCAATTAAGTTTATGATTTCCAGTTAAACTATTGAGATAGGATGGTGGTTGGAAGTAGTCGACAGAAAACCCTTGACCTAGGTTTCGTGCTATTTGACATTCGTCAGTTAGGTGTACGTGTAATATTGAGGGGACTGATGCTCTCTGACGGATTCGATCCCGTGTCACCCAGCTTCACAGTCAGAGACGTTATCACCGAAATATTCAGGCCGCGACTTACCTTTTGTAGGACTGAGATATATGTTACAGCTGACTGATCACTGGGTGGTGATCAATGTAATGTGTGCCAAGTCTCTCTTGGTGCAGATCGGATCCGATCGACCAATTAAACTGTGCTAATACATGTGTAATAATTACCATTATTTATTAAAACCATAACTTATGAAATACATTGCATTGGATTGTAATGAAATTATTTATTTATTTGAGATATAGTCATTGTAATCGACTATATTATAGATTTACAATATTAAAAGGTAAAGAATACGTTCAGTATTAGAGATACATAGTGTAATGAGTATATACAGTTATTTGTTATTTCATTCTCAAGTAAATAATAAGTAGTATAAGATATTTGAAAATTATAAATATCATTCTGAAGTAAATGAAATTATATGATTCATTGTATAAAACCCATTGTAATAACCCAAGTTGAACCTAATAAATAGTTAAATCTCTTATCTTATTTGGTAGAATAAATGAATCAACATTCTGAAGATTGCTATTATTATTACTATTATTGGCTTTATTCAGTATTATATTTTTGATACTATACAGAGTTTTCAGCACAAAGTATTTCAACAAGGTCCCTTTTCTTATTGCTTGATCGATCCTGATGATAAATATTGGATGATGTCCAATTAAATGTTAACAGTTTAGAAATAGACATCTGAATAATATTCATTCTTTTCAATCCATATTGCCAGCCACCACGATGTCTATGAATGTACTTTTTTGTAATTTGTACAACTAAAGGTTGTAAATTTTTTCATGAATGCACTTGAATATGTTATGTCATTAATAGACATAATAATGTATTAAAACAAACAGTAAGATTTGTTGTAATATCTAGATGGTAGGAATAGGTAGTCCAGTTATTTAAACAGACCACCAGACTAGCAATCATTCGTCTGCTATCCTAGTTTTATTACAACTATAGTTATGGTGTATACATGAATCTAAAAGTCCATCAAGTAAGAGTGTTCTAAGAAGTTAGTTCAACTAATTCCAAATATCAGTCAGTATATAAGTATAATCCATATACAGTATCAGTTTCTCAGTATCATCAAACACAAAATAATTCAGTAATCAGAGTATTGTAAACTAAATTTATTTAAAATATTCTACAGAAATATCTGTCAAATATCTTCTATAGTAATATTACCGTTAAACCTCTTGAAATACAATAGTGTAAAACTGTTTTCTATTGGATTTACCCATATTCATTGTGAAAACCAATGTTTATATCATTGCAAAGTTTTAAATAAGGCAATCTATTATCTACGTGAACTAACTGGAAGATAACCAACATCAATTAGCATGTACATACTTATTATTCTGTTGAATATTATCTGTTTATTGTGTGATGCTGAACAATTTAGATTCTATCATAAAACACTTAGGAAGTAAACAAAATACTTAAGTTAGGAAAGTTATATCATAGAAAAATGCTTTATTATATCAAATAACCTATCAAGATAAGAAGAGTTAAGAAATTACAAAAAAATTACGTCACACTTCAATCCATAACATTATTAATGATACTAATTTCAACGATAATATTGTTTACTTTTAATGTAGAATTATTTCATAATTATTCAACTCAATCCTTCATTATCAGAATGAAATTTTGTGAAGATTTTAGTAATTTAATAGTTGAATTCATTAGTCAACTAAATCTAAACTATCATGGAAAACCTGGAAGCATTGGACAGCTGTTTCTTCTTATTATGAGACTCCTCAACAGTGTTGATACACAATAGGTCCTCAGTTCGAATCCCGTGAGCAGGATCGTGGGTGAGCACTGATGATGAGTCCTGCACTAGGATGAAATGGCCATCTAGTATTTTCAGGTTTTCCATGATGGTCTAGCTTTAGTTGACTTATAAATGTAACTATCAAATCCTTTATTTTATCTGTACATCACTTCATTATTGATTAAAACTAAACAATTGAGAATAAGACAATACTAAAACACAGTAAACATTACAATAATCTATATATAAAATATAATTTTCAATAAAAAAACAACTCGAAAATAACGAATGAATGGGCTTATTTAAAGTTTTACTTACTAGGAATGTTATATCATAGAAATTTTTTATAGTCCTTGTGGTAATGGTTAACAGTCAAAGAAATAATCCGTCCACTGAATTTCCAACTTCAATATCCTCTTATTATCGTATGCTTTCTTTTATTAACTACGATTGTGGTCACAAAGTATAAATACAATTGTGAAAGACAATTTGATGAATATGGGTTTATGGTGTGAGATCTTATTTTAACAAAAAAAAAGAGTTAAAAGGGAGTTGTAAAATCTATACATACATATGTTTATATGTATATATATGTATATAAACATTGTACCAAAGGGAGTAGGAAGTAAATATAAAAAAATGGCTGGAATCTGCAAATGAGAAAAATCTGTTCTCATTTTTCTTTCTTTGAGTTTACTTTTTTTATGAGGAGGGGGAGATGTTTTCAAATTTGTTGTTATTCATCTACACATTTCGCTCACAATAATTGTTCCCTCAATATCTTTCTGCATTTGTTTATGCATAGAAGCACAATAAGAGTTGTAGTAGTATTAGTATTAAAAATAAAGATTGAAATTAACTTATGGAATTTGTTTACTAGTAAAAGAAATCATACTCAATCCTTGACTTAGTTTCTCTCCCTCTCATATTGTTTCAACATACTTGTGTGTGTATGTGTGGTTACTTTAATTATTTCGCTTCATATACACACATGCACATTAATAACT